CGCTCCACTGTCACCCCCCCATCCAGCTCCTGGTGACCGTCCCTGGGGTCCCAAGTCCCCAGGATCCCTCATGTCCCCAAGAATTCCCATGTCCCTAGGATGTCCCCAGACACCAAGATGTCCCAAGTCCCCAGGATGCCCCAGGACCCCAAGAAGTCCCATGTCCCCAGGGCGCCCCACATTCCCAAGATGCCCAAGTCCCTGGGATGTCCCAAGTCCCCAGGATGCCCCAAGTCCCCAGGACACCCCAGGTCCTCAAGATGCCCAAGTCCCCAAGATGCCCCAAGTCCCCAATATCTCCCAAGACACCAAGATGCCCCAAGGCCATAAGAAGCTCCATGTCCCCAAGACACCCCATGTCCCCAGGATGCCCCACATCCCCAAGATGCCCAAGTCCCTGGGATGTCCCATGTCCTCAAGATGCCCCATGTCTCCAAGATGCCCCAAGTCCCCAGGATGCCCTAGGACCCCAAGAAGTCCCAAGTCCCCAAGATACCCCAAGTCCCTGGGATGCCCCATGTCCCCAAGATGTTCCAAGGCCATAAGAAGTCCCATGTCCCCAAGACATCCCATGTCCCCAAAAAGCCCTATGTCCCCAGGATGCCCCAAGTCCCCGACCCTGAGATGTCCCAAGTCCCCAGGATGCCCTATGTCCCCAAGATGCCCAAGTCCCCAGGATGCCCCAGGACCCCAAGAAGTCCCAAGTCCCCAGGATGTCCCAAGACACCAAGATGCCGCATGTCCCCAAGATGCCCCAAGTCCCTGGGATGCCCCATGTCCCCAGGATGCCCCAAGACACCAAGATGCCCCAAGGCCATAAGAAGCCTCATGTCCCCAAAAAGCCCCATGTCACCAGGACACCCCAAGTTCCTGACCCCAAGATGCCCCAAGACCCTGAGATGTCCCATGTCCCCAAGATGCTCCATGTCCCCAGGATGCCCCAAGTCCCGAAGATGCCCAAGTCCCTGTGATGCCCCATGTCCCCAAGATGTCCCAAGTCCCAAGGATGCCCCAGGACCCCAAGAAGTCCCAAGTCCCCCCATTCAAGATGCCACATGTCCCCAAGATGCTCCATGTCCCCAAGATGCCCCAAGTCCCTAAGCTTCAACCCCGCGGCCGAGCTTTGCCATTTCTGAGGTGCCGAGGAACCCCAAAGGATTTGGGGTCCGGGGAGGGTTTTCGGGGGCTGAGGCAGGAGGCCGGGGTGATGGGAGGGTCTACCTGGAACCAGTGCTGCAAGTACGGTTTGTGCCGTAACCGCGACACCGCCCGAGCGGCAGCAGTTTATTAACCGTTAATTAATTGGCTGAGGAGGGTTTGGACGCTGAGCGGCGCTGTCCCAGTGCCACCAGTTCCCCGGGTTGGGGTTGATGCCAGTGCCGCAGTGACAACAAAAGGGACAAGGTACCAAAGAAGCATCGGGATGAGGAGGAAATGCCAAATTTGAGGAGGCTTAGGGGTTGTGGCACAGCGGGATGAGGCTCCGAGTGTTGCTACACAGTGAAGAAATCGACGGTGTCATCCCGGGAGATGTCGGTGGTCCAGACGACGTTGGCTCTGCCGGAGCTCCGAAGCATGTGACACAGCTCGGTGCTCACCGCAGCAAAACGCTCTTCATCCACCTCGTCCTTGAAGAGGCAGCTGGAGGTGGAGGGCAGATCCTGGCTCCGGCAATCCACGGGGTACGGGTAGTAAACCAGGCGTAAATCCCGGAGAATCAGAGTTTTCTGTAATAAGGTTTTGAGTCCCGGCGTGGAAAGTGGGTTGCCAAAAAATCCCAGGCAGCGGAGGCGGGAGCAACGGCAGAGCACTGGCAACAGAGCTTCCAGCCGGGAGTCCGTCAGGCGGCATTCCGTGAGATCCAGGTGGAGGAGAGAGACCGAAGCCTCTTCCAGGAGATCCCGGAGGAATTGGAGAAGGTTTTCAGAAAAATTGTGCCCACTCAGGTCCAATTTCTTCAGCGCTGGAGCGTGGAGGCTTTGGGAAAGGAAGGCGAGGTCGTTGGGAAGGAGGCAGCAGAAGGGCAGCTCCAGGCTTTCCAGGGGAGCCTGCACGTCACTGCCGGGGGGTGGAGAACAAGCCGTGAGCTCCCCGAAGCCGTCACCACACCGGGAGGGAAATTAAATCTTTGCTTCCCGTATTCCCAGAGGAACCGTGTTAGGGAACAGCGTCAAATCCCTCCCGATCCCAAGCCCCCCACGCACACGAACAAAAACCCAGGAATTTCCCCCTCCCGGGGCATGGAAAGAGCAGGCTGGGGATCTGCTCCACCAGGAATTTACCTGAGAACATGCCTCAGTTTCCCCGAAAGCCTGGAGGAAGCCAAGTTGAGCTCCTTGAGGCAGGGCAGCCTCCCCAGCTGCATGGCGACGCACCGGAGGCTGGAATCCATCCCCCCTGGGAGTCGTCGGACGTCGACGTTGCTGTAGGGTAGCTTGAGGCTGAGAAGGTTGGTGAATCGGGTGAGATGCGGTAAAACGGCGCAAAGACCGGGCAGCCCCAGGTTGCTGAAGCGTAAATCCACTCGCCGAACGCTGGCGGGATCCAGGGATTCCAACAAATTCACGGTGCCGGCAACAGAAAGCTCCTCGGCGTGGAAATCCCGGCATTTCAGGCACAGGGGACTGGTGGTTTGCAGGGCATCGCGCACGACGCCGTAGGACGTACTGTTGACGAAGAAATCAGTGTGAACCTCCACGGCGATGGATCGCGGAGCCGCCAAGGCACCGGAGGGACCTTTGAGGCGCTTGGAGCCGTGGTTCAGGAGCTCACTTTGGTGTTTGGAGACCTCGAGGCAGGCTTTGGCCAACGCCACCGTGCCGGACCAAAGGCTCATCCCTTCCGGCCCGCCATTGGTGTCAATGTCCTGGAGACCCGTCACGTCCAGCATGCGCAGGCGGCACCGTCTCTTGCTGAGTGAAAAAAAAAAAAAAAAAAGAAACTGGTGAATAAATGAGCAGGGCAATGGGGGAACCAAACCAACGAGAGCCGCAGCCACCTGCCAAACTCGCTCCAGCCCCAAGGCACGGTGAGGGTCATGGTTCTGCTTTTCCTCCCGCGTTGCCGGTGCGTAAAACAATCTGTTGCCACCCCGCGGCTTCCTCCCTCCGCCATGGCCCTGGGATGAGCATGGGGGTGGCGTGGCCCCAGGCAGGGCCTGGCTCAGGTGGACTGGCCCGGCTGCCCAGCTGCCTGCTCGGCTTCTGCAAAGCGACCTGCCGTAGCCCACGCCTCTGCCATGGTTCGCCCGAGAGTTTCCTCGGGAGCTGATGGTGGCGGAGAGAGAAGTGGGATTTTGAGAGGAAGGACCACACGACACTCTGGTCAGAGAAGGGAAGCAAGGAGAGAACTGCCTCCGGAGTCTCCCCTGCAGCTGGTGAAGATTCATGGTGACACACGGTTTGTCCCTTGGTGCAGCCCATGAGAAGATGCAGCTGTGGAGGACCCCACGATTTTAGGAGAAACCTACCCCAGAGCCAAGCAGTCGTCAGGGGACTGTGTCCTGTGTGGAAAGGACTCCCGCTGGAGCAGTTCCTGAGAAGGACTCTCCTGTAAGAAGGGACCCCACGCTGCAGCTGGGAAAGACTGTGAGGAGCCCTGGCCTGAGGAGGAACGAGCAGTGGACTGACTGCACCCCCCCTCCCTGCCTTTAGCAAGGCCTTCGACACCGTGTC